TGTAAACATACTCAGATACACACACACACACACACACACACACACACAGGCCAAATTAATCACCCATAACCATGAAATCCTAGGCCACCTCCACTCCCAACTCCCTCAATTAACTGATATAAGCAGCTTAGTATGTGTTTTCCCAGACTTTTTTCTTTGTTCATACAACTATATAAGCATATATTCTCGTTTATATACAATTTTTTTTGTTGGTTTGTTTGCAAAAATGTGGACTCATGATAAAAAACAATGTTTCTCAAAACGTGGTCCCTGGACCAGCAGCATCATAATCACCTGGCTGTTAAGAATGCCAATTCTCAGGCCCCCACCAACAAACGAAAGATCTCCTGAATCAGGAACTCTGGGAGAGAGGCTCAGCAGTGTGCTTTAAGGAGACCTGCAGAGGCTTTGATGCACCCTAAAGTAAGAAACACTGACAGACATCACTTACCAACTTGGTTTTATACTTGACATACCATGAAGGACACTCCTATAAGTCAGTGGATAAAACCAGATACCTCTGTTCCTTTTCCTTTCTTATTTCTTTAGGCATACCCACACATGTCACTATACACAAACGAGATCGTTCTGTGAGTATTTTAAGGTTTCTTATTGCAGTCTTTTTTTTAACTTGCCTTTACTCTCTCTCCTCCCCCCCACGCCACCTACCTCCCCTCAAGTAACTACTGTTAACACCTTAGCATATGCTACTCTATACTTTCCCCTCATGCTAGTATAGTATACAAAACTACACATTTATAGGCTATTTTTATTAGATTGCTTGCTCTTAGAAAAATGGGGTTATCTTATATAGACTACTCTGCTAATCAATATCCTTATTCAAAAATACCTCATGGAACTGTTTCCAAGTTAACTCTTCTAAATCATTCTTTGTAATGGCTGCATAATATTTTATGTATGATTTATTTAACCATCCAAATGTTGCTGGCACCAAACAAAGTGCACTAAATCACCTTGTTACATATTTTCTTACATGCCAGGTGCTTTCATTTCTATGAGATAGATTCCTTGGATAGGATTGCTAAAGTGAAAAGCAGCTTCATTTCTCATGTTACTAGATGTTTCCATTTGCATTCTCGAAAAAGGATTTAAATTTTACATTTCCACCAATTGTATATGGCAGAAGACTTTCTTCCCCATATTCCCATCAGAAAGAGGTGTGATCACTTGTTTAAACTTGTGTCAGTCTCGTAAGTAGGAGCAAAGTGGTGACCCGTTTTATTCCCTCTCTTGTCTATTTAATTGCTGTTTCTTAAAAATAGACACATTACATATCGTGTGATGAGTTCGACAGCATGCTCTTGGTCATTAATCCCACTTTAGTGGAGCTCTCCATAACTCACATTTTAAAGGAAGTAATGTTTTCCCATTACAAAGATGATGAGAATGGGCTCTTTTAGAATTCCTGTTTAGAGAAATCTAGAAATCTAGATTTATTTCTTTTTTTGTGACCTGAAAATCAGACAGCATGTCCTATATTTTTCACCCTCACCCCAAGTACTCCCCAAATCTCCTTAGACCCCCACGGTCAGCACTTTTTCTTCTGTCTTCTCTTTCTCTACCCACTGTCCTGTTTATTCTAGATTTTCAATACTCAATTTTTAACATTATTTTTAAGTAAGCTTAGAAAATAAAATGCATTCATTGTATAAAGATTATGGTGATAACACTTGGGATCTTTAGCAGACGAGGTCTGTCACTGTCTTCTTGCTGGAAGCCACATGGCTTCATTGATCAAGTCATCTCTTGTGCAAACCAGAGGAGGCAGAACCCTAGTTTTTAAAACTGGATACCTGTCCCAGGCCAGGCCTCTTCCTACCTCCCGCTCCCTATCTACTAACACCATAGAGAAGCCACAGTAGTGGGAAGCCAGGTAGCAGTGACAACCTCAGAGAACTGTGAGGACTCTGGCTTTGCTCCCAGAGTTCAGGAGTCCAGGGGGTATCCTGCCTTCCCCAGAGTTTTCTGAGAATGTATCCTACTCATTAAAGAAGGCTGGGGGACGTGGGGGCGGGGTGTGTGTGTGTCATGGGCCCAGCAGTAATTCCATGTAATAAAGAGCCTCTTTGCCTAATTATTAATTTCTGGAAGTGGGAGCAAGGAGACCATAAAGAACTTAAGGGGACTGGGGACCCCCTGAATGTACCCCTCAGTCCTCCCTTTGTGCATCTGGTTCTTCTCTCAGCCTCTGTCCTAGCGATAGAGCTGCCTCAGGGACCCACTGAAGGAGGGAGATAAGACAGTTGAAGATGTCACGCTTGTGGAGATCTGATAAGCAATTCGATCTAGTCACATACCTTTGATTGTTTAGAGTTTACGTAATACGTATGTAATATTGCTTCTAAGTCTGAAGGGGTTTCATTTTTCCCTTCACCAAATGCAGCATCTGAACCAGCTTTTGAATCTCCCGCTGGATTCCGTGAAGATGGAACCTTGTTATAGTAAAGTCAACCAGCTGCAGGAGCGCTTGCAGGATCTCAAGAGCCGCTTCAGATTCCCCCACGTCGACCTGGTGGTGCAGAGGACCCAGAACTACATGCAGGAGGTGGGAGCAGCAGGGGCACCCATGGAGATGAGGAGGAGCCAACAGGGAAGCAGATGCTGGCAGATGGGACTGGCGTGCTGTGGCCCATTGCATTAGTCACCACGCTGAGTGAGGGCATATTCTTTCCCTCCAGCTGGCTTCATCTTTCTTCCATGCTGCTGGATGTCATGGAGCGGAAATATCTCAGGGAAATAAAGTGGCACTAATTAATAATTACTTGATTTGTGAAATCGGTGCTTTTGACCTTGGCTGCACATTAGAATCATCTGGGAGCCTTTAAGAAATACTGATGTCTAGGCCTCACCTCCAGTGATTCTGATTATATACACATACATATTTGATTATTTTTAAATTTTTAATAATTCAAAAATTTAAATATTTAAATAATTTTTTAAAAAAAAATTTCCCTACTCTGATTCTCACTGTTTCTCTTATGCATCGAGGATTGAGATCCACTGGCTTAAAATTAATTCCCTAACTTAGTTAAGTATCAATCAGTCAATTGCAGCTTCATATTTGGATTTCTTACTTTTACTTGATAGGTTCCTTTTTTCCCCCACAAGGAACAGGAGTGAATAACACAATTTCCTTCCATATTACAGAGATTTATAAATGAAGGAAGGGTGTGATCGTTGAAGCCATAAGAGCACAATTCTATTTCACAGGTTTTCCAGGGGCGCTTACTGTCAGGCATGCCAGATCCCACTTCAGGGAGCTGGTAAGGAGACAGGTTCTTAGATAAATTCACTACAGTGTTGAGAATGCTGTGAGAATGTGTTTGATGCCATGGGATCACAGGCTTGGAAAAGAAAGGAGCTTTTTTTTTTTTTTTAAAGTTTTAGGCAGGATTAAGTAATACATTTTATTATCTACTCTCTGAGTTGTGAGGGATTAAAGATGGTCAACGAACAAAATTGGGCAATAGTTTAACAGAAGTCCCTTTGGTAATACTGAGCCCTGGTGAGACAGATCTAGGCACTAGTGCAGAGAAGAAGAAAGCTGAACTACTTCCGCTCCATAACCCACGGGCGTACCAGCCACTGACGTCCAGCCCTGACTGCGCCTCCCGTCCCGTCCTGGCAGAGAGGAGAGATGGCAAGATGGAAAGTGGAGAGAGAAATGTGCTGGGATGGTTTACATCCACCTAAAAGTGGAGGCGCAGAATTAACTCAGCCAAAAAATAATCAGAGATAGTCCCACCTCATCTCGTTAAGCCCTGGCTGCAGGGACCAGAGAATGGAGGAAGGTGATGACCACAGGAGACGATGGCATTCTCGGTCCTGTCGGGAGACGATGGCATTCTCGGTCCCATGGTCTTGGGTTTACCCATTCAGGGAGGAAGGAAGAGCGATGAGAAGAGGGGTTACATACACGTATACACGTATACGTGCGCGTGTGTGTGTTTCCTGGTCTCTTACTGATCCCACCCTGGCCATGTGCCTATTTATTTCACAGTCCAGGTAGTAGGATGATGACCTGTCACCCTGAGTCACTCTCATTGTGCCCTAGGGGACCCATCTCTGATGGTCATCCACTCCCTTCTCTCCAGCCGACTCTGACAAACCCGGAGGGAGTGGTTGCAGCCTCTGACTGTGCTCTGTCTCTGTGTTGCTTTGGTTTCTAGCTCATGGAGAATGCAGTATTTACTTTCGAGCAGTTGCTTTCCCCACATCTCCAAGGGGAGCCCTCCAAGACTGCAGTCGCAATAGAGAAGGTGAAGCTTCGCGTCTTAAAGGTAAAACCATTCTCTCATTGGTAGGAAGCTTAAAGTAAGAATGTGACCCCTGGCTCTTTTGTTAGGTGGGAAATAGCAAGTTCTTTCCTTCACTTGCCTCTTTTCTTTCTCGTCTATTCCCCGCTTTCCTCCATGAGGTACCAGTGACGGTCACGTAGCAGCAGTTCCCCCAGCACAACGTTCATGCCTCTTCTGCCATCTAGTGGCTATTTTATGGACCACAGGTCTCCAGCATCATTCCTCACCAGCTGAAGTGACATGTCCCAGCTTACTTTCAAAGCAATTGAACTTGATATTTATTGGCGACAACTATAAGCGAAGCGTTGTGGTAGATATTGGATGGAATAGAAAAACAAGCAAGGCACGGCCCCTTTCTTCAAATAGTTTACAGTATAGTGAAACCCATTTAAATTAGCCAGCCTTTTTTTTAGAAATCAAAATCTCCAGGCAAAGAAATACTCCAAGGAAAAGATACCTGCCATATGAAATTGTTTTTAATGTGCTTAATGTTTAAATGTATATCAAAATGGTTTTGATAACAACAGCTTGCACATATACGCTATATTTTTAAAGTATTTTTTAACCTGTTGTGTTTAATTTGATCCTCACAAGAACTTAAAAGATAATTAGAATGTGTCCCATTGTGGAGATGAGGAAACTGACTCTCTAAGAGTTAATGTGACTTACATAAGTCCAACAAGCTAGGCAATCGTTAACCTAGATCTTAAACTATCCTTAAACCTAGCGCCCTAATTTTTTATTACCTACTTTCCCTAAACAATGCTCAGAGCAGGAGATCAAAGTCCACGGAGCCTAGGAGGTGGTCCCTGAATTTCAGACCTGATCCTGAGGCCTCACAGGCAGTAGGAAACTCTGACAAACAAATCATTGAGATTAAAACCAATATTTATCATGGCAACACAAATAATAGTGAACTTGAAGTTGAGAAAGAAAAGATAGTATTAATATCAATATCACCTCCAGTGTCAGGACACTTTATACCTCTCAGAATAGTTCACTTCTTCTCTGGACACATTTAGCTGCAAAAACGTGCTTCCTCGGGTGAAGCCAGAGTTCTCGCCAGTTGTGGTTTGAGTTCTGCCCACTTTGTTCATATCTTTCTTCCACATGGTAGCCTTGTGTTGTTTGAAAAGAGCTGTAATTGGCCCCAAGTTACTATCTCCAGTATAAGTGCCTTCATCTCTTCAACCATTCTTTATTTGGCCAGACCATTCTGCTTACATGCCTGTGACTCTGCTCCAGGTTGTCTGTGGTCCCCTTAAAGTGACGTCTAAAACCAAACACTGGTCTCTGGGTTTGGATGTTCCATGCAGAACAAAGTGAACCATCATCTTTCTTGTTCTAGGAACTTTTTTGGTTAGCATGCCACTGTGTTAATGTAGCTATGAGCCAGACCCTCTCCTCCCTTGTAGAAGTCATTACAACCCACTAATCCTGCTTTCAGGATGCAGAGGGAAATAAGTAAATGACCAGGGCTCCCAGGGACCCACCCAAGACAGGGTGACAAAGTACAAATCTACCACCCAGTTCTGTCCTCAATGTTTTTATAACATGGAAGTCGCTATTTTGATCTTGCTTCAGTTTTCATGTCCATAGGAGGGAGGGTAAGATGGGTCATTATCAGTCATAATCTCTACCTAGAGCATGAGAGAATTGTATAGAAAGATCTCTGAGACCTTGGAAACAGCACGAGGGTCCTTGGAAATTGTGGAGGGAAAGGGAAATGAGGCGGGCGGCTGAGTTTTTTTGTTTAAGTGAAAGTTAACAGATTGCAATGTTGCTATTTAGCATATGTTTTTATCTCTGTATTGACAGCAATATGATTATGACAGCAGCACCATCCGGAAGAAGATATTTCAAAAGGCACTGGTTCAAATCACACTTCCCACCGTGCAGAAGGCGCTGGCATCCACGTGCAAACCAGTAAGGGGATGGGTTATTCCAGAGAGCCTGCTCTTATTGCCTGTGAAGTTCAAGCAAGTTTTTTGTTTTGTTTTGTTTTGTTTTGTTTTGTTTTTTTGCAATTGTGTGTTAACTTTTTGTATATATTTTGAATATTATCCCTTATTCAGATATAAGCTTTGCAAAGGTTTACTCACATTCTCCAGGTCTCATTTTCTGGATTGTTGAAGAGACTATCCTTTCTCCATTGTGTTGACCTGACACCCCTCTCAAAGGACATTTGTCTGTATCAATGTGTTTATTTAGGCCTCTCTATTCTCTTCCATTGATCTATTTGCCTGTTTTTAATGTCACTACCACGCTTATTTGATTATGGATGCTTTGTCTGGGGTTTTAAATTCACAAAGTGTGGATCCTCCATCTTTGTTCCTCATTGTCAAGATAATTTTGGCCCCTGGGATGCTTTGTGTGTTTTTTTGCAATGATGTGCTTGCAAACAGTATAGGGGGCAGCAAATTTTTTCTGTACTCAGCTCTGGTGTCATAGCCCAAAGGCAGCCATAGATAATCCATAAACACATGGGCACATCTGTGTTCTAATAAATTTTTGTTTGCAAAAGCAAGCGGTTAGATTTGCCGACCCCTGGACCAGACAAAATCCCAAAGGGTAGTGATCTCAGTTTGAGCCAAGCTAAGGGTTGCTGTAGAACACCTGAGAATATCAGATGTTCCTCATTATAGTATGACTCATAGGTCCGACATGTCCTCAGAAACTTAACCACAACATCTAGGAAAAAAATCCTTAAACAACCTGATTACAGAATGATATTTGTTCTGTTAAATCCAGTAATGTTTCTTTAGTGAAATCAATGAAACAAGCCATTTAAAAGCTGCTCTGAACACCAGGCAACCAGTGACAGCCATGGTTGTAAAGGTGTGATTTAGTCTGCGGAACAGTAATGGGTGAGCCAACTCAGGAGGCTGAGCCAAGGCTTGGGTTCAAGTTCCGGCCTCTCCAGCTATCGGCCCTGGGACCTTGGGCAAGTCATTTTTATTCTCTCTTGGCTTAGATTTCATCTTCTAGAAAATGGAGATAGAACTATGTTACAGTATCTTTTTTAAGGTTGAGAAGACTAGAATGATCCAATTAACATTTGATGAGTGCTTATCATGGGCAAGACACCGCCTTAAACACTTTGTATGGATTATCTCAGGGATTCTCAGGACAACCCTTTGAGGAAGTACTGTTTATGTCTTCATTGTCTCAATGAGGAAACTTGAAGGGTTAAGTCACAGGCTCGAAGTCACAGAGCTGGTAACCAGCAGAGTTTGAACCTAGCTCACACTGACGGGTAACATGGTGAGCACTCTGTAAATGGTGTATACTGCTACTATTACTACTTCTGCATTTCAGAAAAGATCTATGAGCCCAGAGGTTTACAAAGCCTGCTTCCTCTTGGAGCAAATGATAAAGAGCTTTTTAGAATTTAAAAAGGGCTTTTCAGCAGCTTCCAGAGTCTTCAAGCATTGGAACATTAAGATCTTTCACACGAATTATTTTACTGTGGCAATTTCTTCAGTCATTTTTATATTCTGTAAATACTGTTTTTCTTCAAAGAAAAGTCATCAGCATATCTAGTCCCTGACATTTATTTCTGAGGTGTATTTCTTTCCTCTAAAAGGATGTGATGAAATCAGGGGAGTAAAGAATCTGTGTGATTGTCCCTTGACCCTTGTGGATGAAGAAGTCCAGCTGGGCAGAGGATGGCTCTGTCCACCTCTGGACATGTCTGCACCCACCCCTTCTGCTCTAGGTGGTTTCCTTTTCCAACCCCAAAGGGTTAGAAGTCTCCCTTCTGTCCACTTCCATCTCTCCGAGAATCAGCAGAGTTGTACCCCACCTATAAGAGGCTCTTGTGATTTTTTCATCAAGAGAGACTGGTTCTAAAAGAAACTGTGACCCAGAGTTTTCGGTAATGCAGGGTATGGCATCAGTGTCAAGAGATATTCAAAAATCCAGAATTACAGAAGAGGTAAATTAGAGGAGCATCTGCTTCAGAGAAGGAGCCTTCGTTTTACTAACGTGTGTTTCCTTTGGTTCTGTAAGGTCCATCTTTCTAGATCTGTGGTACTTACTCCACACAAAATGCTCATCAGAATTGCCTGGGGAGCTTTAAAAAAAATTCTAACTCCCTAAGACACATCCTCGGGGATTTCAATTTACTTGGTCCATGGAATTAAACATATGTCACAGTTCAATCTATTCAATATAGAAGATCTAGACACGTCACAATAGTTTGAATTTCTCTAGAAATTATTCCTTTCCACAGAATTATTTAGCTGGTTGAAATTTTAAAGGTCTATCGTTTGTTCATTCAGTAAACATGTATTAAAAGTGTGTCAGGTGTGATCCAGATTGCTGACCTGGGGTTGACAGCCTGGAGGCAAGAGACAGGCACACAGTGTGTGTGTGTCCTGTGACGAGCACAGCAGTAGCCTTATGGGAAGAGCCATGGCTGGAGATCCCAGGAGGGTGGCCGCCCCTGCTTATGGGGTTGAGGAGGACCGCTCAGATACTTGCTTTTTCCCAGTCAGCAGGGATGAATAACAATCAGAGGAATAAGGAATGGGAGACCATTGTGGGAAGAAAAAAGAGTGACATGAGCCTCTGCCCCACATTTCACAGAGGAAGAGAGAAGCCCAGAGCAGCGGTGACGCTTGCCCAGGGTCCCACAGCTAGTCCAGGGCTGTGTCTGGTCCCCTGGCCAGTGTTCTTTCTAATCAGTACTTCTCTGTGTGTCAGTCCTGTCTCTTAGACCCTCCTGTCTCCTCTAGGGTACATGTAAAGGGACCCCATAATGGTCCCCTGTGATCTGGTCCTGAGCTACTGCAGATCCCCACATCCTGGCACTGAGAGTTGTCCGGATGTGATGACTTCTGGTCACCTGTTGTACCCGCCAAATCCCAGGCTCTCTCAGAGCCACATGTCAGGAGCTCTTTTCTAGCACCGTCAGGTGCAAGGATTACTGAGTTAATCACTGGGATATGATCTGATGCTTTGTGACCCTTGCCCTGTCCTCATGCTGATAACAGACAAGCAGTTCAGAAACCCTTGGAAAGCAGGAAGGGTTGAAGGATCTTGCACCCTGCCCAGGCGGACTTAGAGGAACCGGTGGGTGCCAGGCCAGTTGGAGGGGAAGAGCAGAGTGTTCCCAAAGGGTCCTTGACTAGCGAGTCCCTGCACTGAAAAGGGGCCTCGTTCCAATAAAGTTAAACAAACATCTGTTCTAGGACCCTGCAGTCTCACTGCTGCGTGTCCAGTCAAGGAAAATAAGTCCTTAAACCTACAAAAGTCATGCACAAGAACGTTCAGAGCAGTTAGAGTCGTCACAGTCAAAAAATGGGGGGGAAATCTCAATATCCATTAATGGGAGTATGGATAAAAAATTTTAGGTTAGCCATATGATGAATGCCTTTTATCGATAAAAAGAAAGAAGCTACTGATATATGGGGCAACATGGATGCATCTCGAAAACAAGCACAAAAAAATTTGATTTCATTTATATAAAGTTCAAGAACAAGAAAAACTTGAAATCGTATATTTTGTTTATATAAAGATAAATTGTAAATCATAACCTACTGTGATAAATAGCATTTATTCCTTGGAGGATACAGACGGGAAAAGAACATGAGAGCGATACAGTGTCCTCCATCATGATCCGGGTTTTGGTTTCATGGATTTATTTACATATTTAAAATCATTGAGTTACTTTTAAAATGTGCGTATTTTACTGTGTGTAACATATACCTTGGTAAAGTGCTGTTGGCATTTAAAAAAAAAAAAGGAAGAAGGAAACACTTCGATTATGATGAAAAGAAAAATCAAAGGAGGGCCTCAGACTCACCTACAAGGCCTGAAGGTGATCAAAATCTCGGGGTCTCTAAGCACCGCCTTGAAGTGCTTAGAGCCTTTGCCACTATCAGGAATGTTGACTGAGGAAAGGGAAGGGGGTGACCAATGGCCGAGTGCCACACACACGCCAAGGAGGGCGTCGGGAGTGGGATTCTGCCTTCCCATAACTCCTCCATGAACTGGCATCTCGTGCCTTGTCCCCTTTTGTCTCTCGCTCTCCAGGAACTTCAGAAATATGAGCAGTTCATCTTCGCAGATCACACCAATATGATCCATGTGGAAAATGTCTATGAGGAGATATTACATCAGATGCTCCTTGATGAAGCTCTGAAAGGTAAGGAAGGCTGACCTGGTGCGGGAGGGAACTCTAGACAGAGGAGAGTGCTCTTGAAATGGGACGCAGGGAGGTCAGCTAGGTTTTCTCAACAGGTATGAGAGGGGAAGAGGAAATCAACATCAGTGGGCTGGGGAGACAGAGAGAAAACGGAGGGGTGCGGGGAGGGGCACTAACCTTGACTGAGCAGCTGTGATGCGGCACATGCTGTGCTGGCCCATTGGGTATTCTTTCTCTTTCAGTACAAATAAGAACCCTGTGAGACGGGAATTCTAAGCTTCATTTCTCAGATGGGAAAGCTGAAGTATAGAGAGGTTAAACCCAGGGCGTATCATGAACAGCTGTCTTCTTTAGCAGTTCCAGGCAGAATGAAGGAAAAAGGGTTCTTCTGAGACATAGACTCACAAACGCACCCACAGCTGGGAGGGGGTGACTAAAGCAGCAGGGCTCAGCGGCTGCTCTCTCAGGAGACGCACACCCAGTATTCTTCACCTCCTCACAGCTGGGCAGAAAAAGACACAGGGCGATGACACAGTACTCTGTGAGGCCTGCTAGGACTCTAGCACCCAACATCCTGTGGAATCGGGCCTTGCTCTGGAGTGGAGTATGGATAGGAGAACTTTTACAGAAATATGATGGAGAGGGCCATCTACAAAACTGTAGGCCCCCCAAAATATATTTGGTCTCCATGGGGATGGTGTTGAGCATCACAAAACCCCTCCATAAAGAAAACTCGCCAGGAGCAAGCCCCAGGTTTCAGTAGCTCATCACGGGTTCCAATGAGATAAGGAATGTAAAGATGTCAGCACAGTGTCCGCACAGAGGAAGAGCTCAATCAAGGCCGCTGCCAGTCTACCACGGCACATTCGGGTGAATTAGAAAAAGGCCTCTTTCCTCCAGACACTTGATTACTCTCTGTCCACAAATTGCCATGATATACTAATTTTATTAGCGAGCAGGACACTCTGCTGCTGGCTGTTGGAAAATTATTATGCTGAATATACAAATCTATGCTGTCTCTGATGTGAATGGCACCCCCTTGAATATAATATTATAATATAATCGATGTAATATAACATAATATTCTTGGGCACTGTACAATCTCCATAGCCATAAGCGGAGGCCTAAGGTAAAAAATGTCAGCTACTGTCATTATTATTATTGTTTTTACTCCTTTCTCGGCCTCTAAGAACGAGCTGGTTGTACATAGATCTTTATTTTTAGATGTGTCCAGTATTTTCGCCGTAGCATCTTTGCCTTTGACATCTTTGCTGCAAGTATTTTTGTCACATATCCAATTGGCTGTAAGGCAATATTGCCATAAAAATGATAAAATTATGACAAATAAAAGAGACATTAAAGATGAATAATGAAATTAAAAAGACTATTGAAAAATACAAAATACTTGAATACATTTAAAATGGGTGTAGAGTCATGGCAATGTTGCACAAATAACTGATTTTATTTTGTGGATTGTATCTAAGCACTTGTCTTCTTTGTGGGACATGTGGGTTCAACTCCGAACCCTCAAAAAGGCCCTTCAATGTCCCTCTTTCTCCTCCCAATGTGGCGTTTCAAAATAAGAAACCAACTAACTTGGGACAAAAATCATCACCATCTGGAAGAAATACTAATTTAAGAACACTACTATTTGTTTTCTTCACCACTTCTTTGACGGAGAAATGAAACCAAACTGACAAAAAACAAACAAACAAACAAACAAACAAACAAAAAACCCCAAACTGTCAACCTGTTATTTTGTTATTTTTTATGATGGTTGATCCATCAATGAATAAATGAAACCAAACAGACCAAAAACAAACAAACAAACAGTCAACCAGTTATTTTATCTTTTTTATGGCAAAATTTCTATACAGCCAATTAGTTACGTGGCAAAAATATTTGCTGCAAAAAGGCTTGTGGCAAAGATGTTTATGGAAAAGCTTTGGCAAAAGTACCTAGAATCCATTTTGGATCAACACAATTCTCTCTGCGTGTGCAGTACTGAGAACCCATTACACATTTTGACAAAAAGCAGAGAATGTAAGGCCTGCCCCTACCCTAAAGGACTTCCAGTCAAGGTGGACAAACTGGAACCGCATATATTAACAGCTAAGAAAATGCTTTGGGGGCCTCTGTGAGTGATACCATTATGGATTATGAACTCCTTGATAGCAAAAGCCATGTTTTATTTATCTTTGGATTCCCAGATCCTGTCCCATAGTCAAACCCACTAAGTGTTTGCTGTTTGACTTAATGAATGAGTGAAGGAAGGAAGGAATGAATGAACACTACAGAGGTCCAGAATTTGGAATGAGTGTGCAAGCTGTGGTCATCAGGGAAAGCTACCTGGAAGAGGGTGGCTATAAACTGGAACTTGAACTTGAGACATTTGCATAGCCGGAAAAGCTGAGAGGGGAATTTGGCTTCTGGATAAAATCAGAAAATCTGGTTGGCCAGGGCAGAGTGTTAATATTGTGTCTTGTTTCCTGGTATCTCTCAGTGATAAAGGAAGCTGCCATCCTGAAGAAACATAACTTGTTTGAAGACAACATGGCCCTGCCCAGTGAAAGCGTGTCCAGCTTAACTGATCTAAAAACCCCTGCAGGGTCAAACCAGGCCAGCCCTGCCAAGAGAGCCTCGGCCATTCTGCCAGGAGTTGTGGATAATGAGACGTTGAGTAATGACGTATTCCAGGAGTCAGGGGAAAAGCAGCTGCCTGGGGTCCCCAGTCCGCAGGGCAAAGAAGAAAGCCTTTCTTACCCCGGTGGGGATGGGCAGGTAATTATTTCAAGCACGGATGACCCAGTGGTGAATCCTGTGGCTGCAGAGGACACGGCAAGAGCCCTGGGCACACACTCATCAGAGCTGGAGTTTGGAGGGACTCCTGAGCACGAAGAACCCGCCCACGAAAAGCCAGAGGCCATCTCTGCCTCAGGCTCCTTAAAGGAACTCAGAAATTTGTTGACAGTGACCATTGAAGTACCAATGGAGGCTGCCACCCTCGCAATTGAAAAAGGCACAAATCAGGAGACCCTCGTTCCCCAAGAAACTGAAAAAGAAGAGGAAACAACCCAAATCTACACAGAGGCTGATCAAGTAGCTGCCTCCAGTCAGGACAACTGTGGAGAAAGTGAAGTCAGGGAGAGCCAGGCCCAGGCCGGTGGTTTGGAGTTGGGGGGATTTGCAGAGGCTCAGTCAGCCTGCGGAGGGCTCAGCGAGGGCGCCCAAGGCCCAGGCCCCACAGAGGAGCAAGCAGAGGCTAGAGAGCCTGCTGAGGGGGAGCTTGCAGGGAGGGCTTCCGGGCCGGACACCCACGAAGGAGGGACCATGTGCGCTGTCGAGGGTGAGGCCATGCCCCAAGGGGGTTGCCTTTTAAGTTCTGACCCTGTTGGCCTCAGTGAGAGCGTGGTCGCTGTGGAAGAAGCAGCAGTGGGAGGGAAAGGCGACACGACCGAGGCTCCTGCCAGTGTGGATGCAGGGAAGGTGAAGGGTCCCCGTGTTCATGAGTGTCAGTGGGTGGTCGAGAATGTTCCAGACACTGACAACCTAGCTCCACCGAGAGAGGATGCGAAGGAGAGCTCCCCAGAGCAGCCCTCAGAGGAGTGAAAGGGACGATTAGGCAAAGGCATTTATTTGAACAAACTCAGCTAATGGGTTAGTTATGGGTACACGCTTAGGGGGTGCATGTGGGTTGTTACCCAAAAAAAAAAAATAAAAAATATTAAGTACTGCCTTAATTTGTAGGATGAAATTAGAGGAAATGCAGATGGGGCGTGAGCACTGAGGCAAAACTTTGTGGAGCTGAACTGTTTTATCATGAATTATTGCTTTAGCATTTTAATAGGAATTAGGAAGGTCATGGAGTGTTTGGGGTGAGAGGCAGCTGAGGGCGTTGGAGGGAGGGAGTAGGTGTTGCACAGGGGATGGAGAAAAACAGTAGGAACACGGTTTCTAATGCACTCTGCACATTTTCTTCTAATGCACTTTAAGGCTTTTTAATTCGTGATAAGAACGCAAATGTATACTGTAAACCCAGTTTCACCGTCTGCTATACCAACTTCTTCACTGTCTCTTAAGAACTCAGCATTTGTCCACAGTCAGGCGGCAAGGGAGGGTGTGGGGTGAACACCAGTCACCCCTGCTGCGTGCAGCCCCACGGAGTCTGAGAGATCTCAGGGCACGCCAAGCAGACATAGCGGAAGGCTGTGCTCTGTGGGACTGTCTGGGCCTGTTACTAATTCTGCTATCAATTCCTTGTTAATTAATCTTGTTGATTCTTATTAATTAATCACCTTTTGGGGAAATTCAGATGAGGCAAAAAACTTCTCTGGCACATTTAGGTATTCCAAATTAGCCTTAGACTGTGCAGAGGACGGGCTTAGCTAAATTGTCAGGCGTAAAGCCTTCCAATTAAACAAATGTGTTTTGAACAGCTACTCTATGCCATGAGCTAAGCTATGTTAGGCATAGTACCAAAAAAAAAAAAAAAAGTGCTCTGTTCAGTATAAATTAAAAAGTCCAAGGGAATTTAATCTAAAAAAGAAAAATGCCATTTTTCAAATAATATGCTTTCTGTCGTGACATGAAAACTTTCTTTCTGTTGAAATAGTCCTGGTTCATTCCAAGAAGGGAATAAAGTGAATAAATGAATAGAATGAAGAAGGGAGTGAGGGAGGGAGGAAGGAAGGAAAGAGAGAAGGAAGGAAAAGGAAAGGGAGAGAGGAAGAACTAGAGAGAAAGAAAGAACAAAGCCAAGATATATACCGTCAAGTTCCAAAGATGTTAAAAAAATTACCCTAAGTAGAAATTATTTGTCGAGTCTTTGAGCAAATTAATTGAGTCCCTGTTATGTCCCGGACGCTGGAGATCCGTGGTTAGCAAGATCCATTTTTTCCTCCTGGAACTTATACTTTAATAGAAATAGACACAAACACATTTTTAAGTGGATTGTGACCTATAATTGTTCATCTTATAAGTGGAATGGACTTAATTCCAAGAGATTAAAGAAGCATTATATTGTCTTTCAGAAAATACTAGGCCATTTCCTAAAAGCTTCAGTCCCAGTACTACTTCTTGAAATTTCTTTGCACAAATTTTAATATTAGATCCCAATATAAGTCCTAAGAGCTTGTTTTGATCATCATCGGCAAGTTTATATCGGTTCTTTAGAGAACTTGTCCCACAATTGAACCATTTAACCAGGAATTAAAATATCTCCCTTCCCACCTTCCCATTAAGAATTTCTTGGATTTCTAGGTCTTAAAGGGTGAAAAATAATCAGTATCAGTATACTCTCAAATTCCCCTCCCCCTGCCCCACCCCACCCCGCCCCAGTCTGTGAAAGAACTTCTTACAGGTAGACAAGGTAGAGGCCACCCCGCCCCACTCCCTGCAGGACACAGTGCTCGTTCATATCTTTGAGTTCAGCACAGAATGTTGAAAGTATGTTTACTTCCTGTCTCTTCCAGGGCTCCTCTCTCCAAGGACAGAAAATAGGGTTTAGTCATCATTCGTGCTACCTGCTAGAAACACACAGCCTTGAATAATGGCTTCCTCCCTCCTCAAGTCACTTTACTATCCCTAGTGCCTAGTGAGGAGCTGGCCCATGTCGGGCTGCTCAGGAAATGGGAGAACCAAACACCCACCGCCCTGCTGGATGCTGGGGCTGTCTGGGGCTTGCTGTCAGTCAGGGAGACTTTTTATCTGGGCTTTCTGCCCTTGGGGAATCTTCTCTTAAGTCTAGTCCAAAGTCCAAGGGGCAGATGGCCAGCCGGCCAAAGGCACCGCCCAGGAAAGCAGGGAGCCAAAGGAGCCATGCCCAGCCCCGCCAAAGAATGCCTTTCTCCCGGGAGGAACTGCGGGGGGTCCCAGCCTAGGCTGCCCCTCGCGGGAGTTTCCCAGCTTTCTCCTTTTTTTTTTTTACCTTGGGGCTTCTGGAACCCTTGGAAAGCTAAGAGATTTTTCCAACCCTAAAAGAGAGTACATTTCACTGCGCTGGATGGATGAATATCAGTGCCCTCCCTTTACTCATCCTGTCGCCAGAGGGGACCTGGCCCTAAGGGGAAGGACATACTTCAGAACACAATCAAGGAATTTTTCTGTATATATTTCACAAAAGACAAGTTCACTAGACTAAGCAGGATGATTGTTCCATTGGTAGATGGAATGGGAAACTAAAGTGCATTAAAAATATTCCTTATGCATTTTAACATGTTGAATGGAATAACTTCATATTAACATGAAGTCTGTCTTACTTTTAAAGCAGACCTGTATGTGTCGCTTCAGGGGTTTCCAGGTTGGAGTGGGGTTAATACGATTTAAATGAGCAGCTTGAAAAGCCTCTGCCTGCTGACTCTGGGGATCTCTCCTAGGGGCAAATCCATTAGAAATGCACCAAACCTCAAGACAGGGTTTTTGGCAAAAATGCCATGACTTTAAACTAGTTATGTTACTATTGACCTTTCACAAAGGAAGAATATTTTCCTTTAAAAAATTAGTTTGTCATTTTCTCCTTTTGCAGGTTGGAGCTGAGACAGTAGTGCCTTGAGTTATGCAGTGAACTCTCTTTTCAAAAAAAAAATATATGTATATTTTAGAGTCCACAAGGATAAGATTCCAATTTGTCCAAAAGCTTTATAAAAAGGCCAAGTGTGAAAAACTGCAGGTTATTAGGCCTGATCTACATTTTATTAAAAAGATCATCGAGTCTGGTTTTGTAACCTCCAAACTAGAGCCAATGATTTCAAAGGGTTTCACGATTCTCCCAGACAAGTGATTTTATTTCTCTATAAAAAGTGCTAAATGATTTATGGTACATAACAATTTTAATATGGGGAGGGGAAGGACATCACTAAAACAATAATATAGTTCACCAGGTGAAAATGTTGGCTACATGTGCCTGCTTTACCGTAAACAAATGGGCTTAGGGATTTGCTTTCTGAAGTCTACAACTTCAAGAGAAAAATCTACATTATGGTTGGTTTTTCTGGTCACTATGTAAAGCAAATAAACTTTAAACACTTTGTAACCATGTATTTACTCTGCCAAGTGCCTATATTCCAATAAAATGTTCATCCTTGAAGAGGTGTCCAAATGTCATCTTTATTTGTAATGGGGCTGGTTTCATCTCTTAAGCAAACGACAGACTTGAGCTGGAAGGAACAACCCTCGGAGATGAAAAGGTGAGTCACTGTTACTGTATTATGGAACTTTTAATTTTCTGTCATTGGGAAGGAACCCACAGGGAAGTCACTTAACGTCAGATGTAATTATGCTTTGAAAATGCATATGCTTATTTCTCTAGGAATTGGACTATGTCCATAATAGAGCAATGGGCAATTACTCTTGACGTAATTGAATTACTGTTCAAATTGATTTTCGATGAGTAACACTGAGTGAAACACTCATTCTTTGATATAATTATAAATAAACACATATTTCCTCACCAATGTTGACAGTAGTTCATTCATCCATGAACTCATTAATCCAAAAAATAATAATTGGGTATCTGTTATATGCAGGCACTCTCGTAGGTGCTGGCGAAGCAGAGGTGAACGCAGTGGACATGATCCCTGCATCAGGAAACTCAAAATTGTAGGGTCAATGTGGCCAGGAAGAGCCCAGAAGGGATATTTGCTTCCTTGCCTTGCATAAGCCTTGTCTGTCATCTTAGCTTTCACTCACCTACACCAACAGCTTCAGAGGAGAGAGTAAGAAACACTGGAGAAATCAAGTTCGGCAGTGACAGGACACTTGGTGTGCCACGAACCTCACTTCCTCTCCTCCTTTCATACAGAATTTCCAAAACGTAAGAATCATTCCCCAAGAGGCTCCTCCAGAACTTCTATTTAGGGCCAAAAATCAGGTTGGAATTGGAGGTGAGTGGGTTGATTTGAAACTACTTCTACATAGTTTTTTCTTTGATTATATGTTTATTTGTTGTGGCTTGGATGGGACTGATGGGGTTCTTGAGAGGAGTCAACTAAACCTGTATGCCAATGTCTACAGTTGCTGTATTAATAACTGTCAAAAACTAGAAAAGAACCCATATGTCTTTCAGCTGGTGAATGGATAAACTGGTATATCCATATAACCTACTATTCGACAATAAAAAGGAATGTTCTACTGACATATGCAGTAATGTGGATGAGTCTCAAAATAATTAGGCGGAGTAAAAAAAGCCATACTCAAATAGAGGATACATACTATATGCTTCCTTTTACATGACATGCTGGGAAAAGAAAAACTAAGGGATAAAAATAGATCATTTGGGGGACGGGGGAGATAGATGGGATAAAAAGGGGCAAATATGTGTTGACAGAAAGAAATCTAACTACGGGTGGTGAACACACAGTGCAATATATATGCCTTACTGTTGAATTGTACACCGCAAACTTACTGGATAGCGTGAACTAATATTGCCATTAAAAAAAAAAAAAAGATCACTGGTTGCCTGCAGTTGGGGGGACGGGGAGGGATTGACTGTGAAGTGGCATGTAAGGGAATTTGGTTCACCTCCTAAATTTATATCCTGAATTATGGTGGTTGCTCTGTGACTAAATGCATTTGTTAATACTCATATAACTGTAAACTGAAAAGGGTGGATTTTAGTCATGTGTAAATTATACCTCAATAAACATGACTAAAAAAATATCTTCTTAAATGGCCGAAGTTTTCAACGATAGGGAATTAAATTTATTATGGAACATTTATATAATAAAGCATGACAGAATTGTTTTGGACTTCGTTGTACTTTTTCTCTGCTTAACAGGTTATAAACGGCCTTCGTATGTGTGCAAAATTTCTGTTTCTAAATTAGAATCACCAATTTATTCTTCTACTTTCTCTTCCAGCTAGGGTATGGGGATGTGAGGTATGCTCCACCACTCAGACTCACTCTTTTCAAATTTTGATTCAATAGAAAGGTAAGAAGGCAATAATTATGAAAAATCTATTCTGCTGAGGGTGGTGGATCGTGACATAGAGACATCCGGCTCTCAGAGTGACAGTGACAGAGGGTCTAGCAGCAAGTGTCCCAACTCCAAGGTCAAGGTGCAGTTAAATTCCTGAAGCATCCTGGTGCTAACATTTGGGATGTATATTCCTCAAGCCTGGTTCTTGGGCCCTCTGAGATTTTAACATATTTACATTAATTAAAAATTTTAATTAGAGTGTTATTTGCAGCCAAGAACCTGGACTGATAGAACAGTCATTAAAAATTATGTTTATGACCACATGAGCTAAGACTAAATCCTGGGTACGGTGGCTTAGACCATCATTGATAAATGCGACTGACTGTACCTGGCGATGACGTCCACACTGTGAATACGTAGAGAAGGTGAATGCCAACATCCCCAGCAAGAAACTCTAAAACAAGGTGCAGCTTATGTAACTCATCTAAGAAAGTGGATTCAGAGTCTTCATTTAAATGTGGGGAGTGAGAGGAGGAAGAACTCTGCTCCGCCTGCAGGTCGCCAGACTCATCGCTGCACTCCACTTCCAAGCGAGAAAAGCCATTTCAAGCTTTCTACAGAGCTGTTTTATTTTCAACAAATCTGAGTGTACCAACCTGGAAAAGAATTGTTTACAAACAGTTGGCAATCATGTGGGAAAGGCTTAACCATGGTTTTGAGTTTTTAAAAAATCATAAGATTCAATATAAGTGCATAAGCGAACAATCTGGAAGAAAATTTTGCCAAAGTGGAAACAGTGGTAATTATCGCTTTTGTGTGCTCCCCCCTGCCCCGCCCCCATGTTCCATAACGAAGATATATTACTGTCAAAATTAGAAAAACATGAACATTTAAAAATGTTTTAAATTTGAATTTAAGTTTCGCAAAAGGATCCTCTGTCTTCCTAGAATCCCATAAGCCAAAGGACTCTGGGTACATTTACTCCCGTCCTTAGGCCCATTAACAACTATTATTGGGAGTGATACATAAGCATAAGCGAAAGAAAAAAAAGCCACTGGAAACCTTTGTCAAGGGAAAATTTGTTCCCTAAATAACCACTTGACGAATAACATTCTGAAGGGCTCTGCTGCTCTTTTGCAGTTCTGATCTTGACTCAAATCTTCTGCCCCACAATTCCTGTGGTGATGCCCAGACATGTGCCAGGCCACCACGCTGGCATTGTCTTCCCGCCACAGAAAGCCAGACACCTGGGCACAGTAAGGTCTAACAGCCTGCCCAGGGCCGAGTTAGGATCTCCTAGGTTCTATCTGCAGCCATGTATTATGAAAAATCCTCCAAGAGCTCTAATGAAAAGACAATTTATTTAAGGCCATTACCACTTGCTTGATATGCCTCAAGAAATTACAAATATGAGAGATCACACTCATTAAAGCACGACATAGCATGCTGTGAAAAACACAACATATGTTTATTTGAAGTCTGAAAAGCCTACTGAGTTTTAAATTTTTCTTCTGAATATCCTTTGATGTATAAGCCTTTTAATTTTTGATTCTTTGAAAAATAGTGGTTTCTAGATCAAAAACAGTGGAAACTTTCTCTGGGTGAGTAAAAAAATCACCTAAAGATAAAGTTGCTAGACTCCATTAAGTGGATAAGATGAAACATATGGACACAAAGCATTTTAAATCTCCATGAACAAGACAATCTCATAATCACTTTAAAATTGAGTAAACCCAGAAAAATTGGAGACACTCCTTTACATGAAATATTTTTTCACTCCTAGTTATATAAGTTATCATGGAAGCAGTAACTTTGTTCCACTTAATTAAAACTGGTGACCCTCTATAAATTATACAAAGCTACCATCATCAAGAATCTATTTTGAAAAATATTAGTTTAGAATCAGCAATATTATAGTAAAATCCTCGAGAATAGAGATTATGCATTAAATTTTATGCTAAGACCTCTTCCTAACTAAACTAGTGGTAAAATGTAAGTGATGAAGTTAATTGTGAAGTATATGTTTCTTCTCCTTTATTTGCCTGGACCTTTAGCTCCCACTTCTAGGCCTTTAGCTAGGATTTGTTTCCCAGTACTCTATTCTCTGTAGTATTTTTGATGCACCAATAAAATGTTAGCCACCAAGTTCTAATCTTCCTCTTAGTCAATGTTATTTTGGATACAAGTGACACAACTCACTTAGGCAAGAAGAGTTTATTTTATGGTTATCGAAGTATCTCATGGAAACTAAAGAACCCCACATCCATCGGGAGATAAATTCTCCTTTTTTCTCTATATCTTAGGCTATCTGGTCTCGCATTTTTTCCTTTTCTCTGCACATCTGCTCCATTCTCATCTATCTGCAGTGTAGCTTTCACTGCTTTTCTATTCATAGGGAGAACTGTGACTAACTCATAGGCCTCTGAGTTTACTTATCCCTATTTCTAGCAACCAGCAAAGACTGTAATTTCTGAGTCATGATCCCAAATTCCTGAGAGAGAGTTTGGGCCCGGTGTCTATCCCTGGTCCAAATCAGTTATAGCCAGGGTGTGAAGGGACATCAAAAAAGTGCAAAGAAACAGGTGAAATTAGTTCATAACGAATTTTATTTAACCTAATATATCTAAAACATTATCATTAAGCATGTAATCCATTTAAAAAATCATCAGTCTACTTTTTTATAACAAGTTTTTGAAATCCAGTATACATTGACAAACTAACCACATTTCAAGTGCTCAGTAGCCAGATGTGGCTCGTGACTATCACACTGAACAGCACAGTTCTGGAATATACCAATAATGAAACCATGAATCAGATTTCTGGCAGTAAAAAAAAAGCTTCATAAATTCACAAAGATGGTTTCTAAAATCCAGCTTCCCTGGCATACTGGAGGAATGGAAGTGGGGGCGGGGGGAACACTTCTGCTTAACCCATGTGCATCACATGTCCTTGGGTTTCCTCTCTCATACTTTCTCTGCTTTCTCACCAAACCTAATATTAACTAAAGTAAATAACTTTAAAAACCACTAAGTTTTCTTATCAACTTCTAAAAGACTCCACTTGTCAGAACATGGAATAGTAAATAACAACTCTCTAGTACTTTTATGTTAAGCCTATTACATTTAATCCTTTTATTTTATTTTTTTATCCCAGGAGCAACTGTAATTACTGAGACTACAGCTTTTACTGTTTACTAGCTGTGTCTCTTATCACCAAGAGATTTAAGTACTGTCAAGGGAAGCTGCCTTGCAGTATCTCCAGTAATGCATTATCTCCATGCATCTCATACAGAAGAGAAAGGAAAAAGGAAAGCTTTAAAGATAAGCTGGGCTACCTCTACAATTATAAAATTTACCCAAGGCTCAGACAAAATAATGATGTTTTTTAACACTTCTCCGAGGAGATCCTATTATTTGTTTATAGTATTTAGGGAGTTGATAGATAAAATACAATAAGCAAAATTAAAAAATATAATGGGACAGATTTTTCACAGTTAACCTATTTTTGGAATCCATGAACATAACAAAACTCATATTTACATCTTTACTCTAAGTAATGTCTTTTTTAATGTTTGCAATATTGGGTTCTCAAGAAGAAAAGTGTTCCGTAAATTCCACACACTGTCAAATTATAGGAAAAGTGATTTGAAGAATGACAAAATCACCACTCCCAAATTCTGCACCAGAGTTTTAAGAATAATCAGATGTCACGTTAAAGAATTCATATCATTTAGGGGCAACTGCTGCTGTACAGTCAGTGTCACATGGCTGGTTGCAGCCTCCTGGACTTTCTGAATCATATTATTAAAGTGGAGATTCTCCCTTGTGTTTGTGAGTCCGTATGATTCTAACTAGGACTCCTGCTCTTCCCTAACTACTGATCCACCCAGGCAAGTAAGTAAAGAGAACACTAGGTAAGCAGACATATTTTACATAAGCCACAGGCTGGGCAAACAAACCTTTAACTGGTTAAAGGGCACTTTATAAATGACTCTTCTTATCGTTTTAATGGGCTTTACACATCTAAAATCTCTTCCGTATTCTTTAAAAGTCTTTACCCTTATTCTCCTTAATGCTTTCCGCCAGTGTTTCTCCCCCGCCCTGCATAACACACCAAGGTCTCTCTTAACATATATATATATATATATAAAATCAACATATATATATATAATCACTATTGTATGGTTTTAAAATAATGTGTATAACTTTTAAAGCAATGAATGTATATTTTCCCCAGTGTCCATAAATTGCCAATTAACTAACAATTTCTAGTGTTCCATTAAGGGGTTAAAATGGTCCTCTTTTGAAATGCACTTTGTGAATATATTTTTCTTTCACTGCCAGGGACTCACCTTAGATATGATAAGTTGCAATGTTTTTTAGGCCACACAAGCTTTTTCTACTTATGGTTTTGCAGAGATTAGTGAAACATGGACTCAATCATTGACTAGAAATTGAATTTCAGTAAGGGAGAAAAAGATGCTTCTTATTTTGCACATCAACAAAGAACATATTCTAGGTTCTCATTATACCCTTTTAAAATGCAGTGTTAGCTTGAAAACGAATAAGCCAAGGAAGAAGAAAAAAATGCTAAACATTAAAAGCCAGTACTTCTCTTTCTTGAGAATATTGTTTCTTTATAATAGTTACTCTTCAATTTTGACTTCTCATAAAGGCATGGACAATCAGGAAGATAAAGAAAACAGTTATTGCCAATAATCCACTACGAATAATTGACTTGACTACATTTCAGTATAACCGAAGGTCACTGACTTATTTTTCTATTTTCTTTGTTCTTAGTTTTCAAAAACTGGATGGTTGGCTTTGACCTTTAGCTTGTTATGTTATCTATGCCAGAGCCAAGAACAATTCACGGGTATTATTTATTTAGGTAACTTTATCATCAAAGCTGCCAAAGAGGATCCAGGATGGAACCAATAAAGGGATGCAGGTCCATGAAAAGGATAAAATTAAATATTGTACAGAAATGACCTCATGTGTTTTCATAGCCTCTATGTAAGTAAATAAATTATATTCGTCTCACTTTATAGATAAGAAAACTGAGGGAATAAGGAAACAAGTATATTCCACATTTACTGAGGCTCTGTAACAGGAAAGGCACAGTGCTGAGTTTTTGAACATACATATAAATAAGCTAATGTCAATACCTTCCAACTGGTCACAGTCTAGTGAACACGGCTGACTGTGAAAAGCACAATAATAAGACAATACAATACAAAAACAAGGCAAAGGATGACTTCCAATGACTGGAAGGTTCTGGAAGGGTTTTTTAGAGATAGAATCTGAGACTTACTGGGTAGTGAGTGTTCTACAAAGATGGTGGGATAGATGAGAAGATAAGATGGTAAAGGCATGGAAAGGCTATAACATGAGAATCTATTACCTACCGCATAGGATTTGAGGGCAGGGCAGGAGTAGAAGGGGGATGACATGTTCAGAGGGTTTGCAGATGTCCTTGAATGTCAACTCTGATAGCAATGTAGAGAAAAGTACGGTGGCAGGGAAATAATGTAAGAGGCGATTGCAATGGTTCAGGAAAGAAGTAATGGAGGCTGGAACTGAGCAGAAGTATGAGTGGAAGGAAAGGTAATGATCGAAGTACAATCTATATAATTTGGAAACTAACTGGGCATGGACCATGGAGGATGAGTTGATGATGATTCTGATGCACTAATATGAACCAGTGAACATGTAACATTTGAGCTACCCTTGGGCCAGATAGAAGGAAATTTCTACAAGGGAGGTGGAAATGTTTATCTAGAGATGAGGACAGATATCAATTTAGACATCAACCACAGGGATATTGGTTGAATCCATATGAGTGGAAGAAATCACCAGGGAATAGAGTAACGAGAGGAAAAGGACAAAAAGGAAACCTTAAAATGCAGGGAAGAGAAGGAATAAAGGAAGAGTCACTGGGGTCACCTAAATGGTCTGAGAGGGAAGTGAGTGATGCAAGGAGATAGAAATCAAGGAAGAAAAGTTTCCAGAAAGAGAGCTGAATGCTGCCGAGGGGATGAGTAAGTGATTTCCTGCGGTCATAAGGTCACATCCAAGCTCCTAAACTCCTCACCTACCTACTGAAATATCAAACGAGAAAAACAATGTGCTTTTTCAAGAAGAACCTATGCCTCATTTTATCAGTGGCTAACCTGGAACTCAGTCATCAAAATAAACTGAAAGTTGCAATCCCCTTCATTAAACTTTCTCTGCGTCTCACAGCACTTACTTCACAGTGAGCATCTTAGATAACTATTTTTAATCAAGTAGGAGGGCTCACGTGCTTTCCTTCATCCTCGTGGTACTGTGCAGTGGTTACATGCAAGGGCTTTCCAGTCACAGAGGCTGGTTGGACTCTAATCCAGCAGTGTGACCAGAGCTTTTGTTTCCTAACTTCTCTAGCTTCGGTTTCCTCGTTTGCAAAATGGGGGTGGAAATACTTACCTACAAGGGTTACCTACAATACTTACCTACACGAGAGAATGCAAGTAAAACTCTCAGCGCACTGCCGACAAAGGCTCCATTCATTTTTGCAGTTGCTTTGTAATCTCCCTGAGGGCAGAGGATTACTCCAACACTATTCCCTAAGGCGTACGGATCCGACCCGGGGACGTGTCCGCTTCATCCTGCCTGCCTTCAGGGAAACGTCATTCGCGGCAGGAGGGATAAACAGCTGACCCATGGAGGAAGGGCTGGGCGCAGAGAGCCGGGGACAGCTGGATCCCCCAATCCCGTGACCCTCGGAGGACTACACGTCCCACGGTGCAGCGCGCCCACCCAGCGTGGAAATTTCGCCCGGCGGACTCGTACCGAGGGACCGCGGGGCAGGAAGCAGTGCACGCTGGGACCGGTAGTCTCCGGGTCGCAAGTTCACGGGTCGGAGGAGGGCCCAAGCAAAAGGCCCCTCCCCAGTCCCGCCTTTTGTCCACGTCTCCCTTCTCCCGGCCAGTGTTCTCTTCCGTCTTCGGAGCCAGCCCCTCTCCGTCCCGGTCCCCATTGGTTTTGAGGCCCGACGTCTCGGGCCCTACCCGGAAGTAGCGTTGGGGGAGGCGGTTTCCTAGACTACGACACCGGAAAGCTGGGGGAGGCGCTCCGGGCAGCTCAGGGCGGCGGCAGCACTGGCGCTGGAAACAGGCTTGGTGGCTTCGGGAAATAGTTCGGCGACGGCGGCCGCTCGCGTTGCTCCGCATCCCGCCCTCGGCACGGCTCGCAGCCCCCTTGCCACCGGCGTCCGGCGATGTGTCCCGTCGGCCGGGCGTAGCAGCTGCGCGTGCGCGGAACCGCGGGGCCATGAGCGAAGCCGGCGGCGGCCGGGGCTCTGGGTCTTCGGTCCCCCAGCGAACGCCATGGAGCCTGGTGGCGGCGACGGCCGCGCTCTGCCTGGTGTCGGCCACGTCCGTGTGGACGGCGGGGGCCGCGCCCATGAGTAGGGAGGAGAAGCAGAAGCTTGGGTAAGGTGCTTGGCATCTTGGGGTGGGTTTCCTCCTGAGGCTGACCGCGGGGGAGATGCCTGTCATTGCGACCCAGGCGTGCAGTCAGTAGTCTCTCTTGTCGCGATGGGACGGCTGTGGCCTCGCGAGGACCCCCTGGCAGAGTGGACGGGGTCCGGGAAGGTGGGAGCCTCCGCCCGCTTTGCGACCTCGGGGACTGTTGGGGTGTCGCCGGGGCCGTCTGTGACATGTGCAGGCTCCCCGAGGCCAGCCGGGGTGTGTCAACGCAGCTACCGTGTCAGTGGCCCGTGACGGAGGCTACAGTCCATGTCGTTGCGCGGGAGAGTCCTGCGGTTGTCTTTCCTCATTGGCATGATTAGATTTCTCACACAAGTGAGCTCCCCGCTGGAGAAGTGTGGCTGACCTTAGAGTAGTTAAGGAAGTAATGTTTACACCTGTTACGGAAAAGGGGGGCGTTCATGTGTAAACTTGAACTTTACACATATTACCATTTCCTTGCAGTGTTTTTTTTTTCTTTTGCACTGCGTTTGCATAATAGGACAATATTTGATGGTGTTTTCAAAAGCCCTAATTAAGTATAGCAGGTATTCACTTTTTAGTCAGAGTAGTTTATCAGTCTTGAAAGTGTCGTAAAATTATCAATTATATTTAATTCAGAGTCAGTATTCCTAGTATTTGTTAGGTCCCACAAACGATTAAGAAAAAAGCCAATTTACCAGTAGCGAATGGGCAAAGGGCATAAAGAGTTAACTCACACAAGAGGAAATGCAAATGGTCAATAAACATGAAAAGTAACTGAACCTTGTAAATGTGAGAGATGCAGATTAAAGCAATGAGTTTTTTTTATTTTTTTTTTTTAAACATCAGGTTAGTAAATGCAAAACATACGGATAGAGCACTGGCTAGTTGAGATGTGAGAAAAAACCTTGGTGAGCGTTACACTTGCTGCAACTCCTAAAGTTTAAATTGTATTTACCCTTTGATTCATCAGCCTCATCTCCAGGAATCTATCCTGCAGAAATAAAAGTACTGTCATTGTAGAGATAGGTGTACAAGGATGTGCATTTTGAAGGAATGAAACACTTCCTTGGAGCATCCATGTTAAGGAATGATATTCCGACATTAAAGGAGAGGTAGATCATTGGAATGCTGTCCAGGATAGATTATTCCCAAGACAGAATCAAAATTGCAAGTTGTAAAATAATACGTATGGTACCATCCCATTTTTTTTTTTTTAATAGAAAAACATGGAAAGATGATTACCTCCTGGGGTTAGGATAGAGGTGATGTGGAACCATCAGATTTTATTTTATGTACTTCCTTATTTAAATGGTCGCAAGAGCCTTGTGTTAGTTTTTAAATAAAATAGCAATAAAAGGTGCTTGAAAGAAGACAAAATTACCAATAAATCCTAATAAGTATCTTAAATTTTCTGTTTATGAATTTCATGTGTCATTGATAACTGTTTTACTGAATATTCTGTGCTAGGCACTTTACATATGTCATCTCTGTAATCCTCCCTGTTTCTTAATGAGGTGGATGTGATCCCCATTTTGCAGATGAGGAAATTGAGACTAATGGTTGACTTGTTCAAAGTCACAGAGCTGGTAAATAGTGGAGCCAGTATTCAAACTCAGGTCTGTGACCTCAGAGCCCATTCTCTCTCCACTATCCTGCACTTCCATTAAGACCTGAAAAGAGGATGCAGATTAAAGCAATGAGATTTTTGATGTACTCAACTCCTTTAAAAAAAACTGTCAAAAGTCAAATCAATAATCAGCTAAGGATAGCAAGTATCTTATTTGACCACCACTCCCCCCTCTTTCTTTTTTATTAAAAAATTTTATTTGAAGAAAAGTCATTGGATAACTCATTTTTGACCAGTTAATTTTTAACTGGAGAAGTCCAACCAGTTCTGATCAGATTTTGAGATCATTTATGAAAGCTAAATTACAATAATTTAGGTTTGTTAATTGCCTTACTCTAGTGTAAGTGTAGAATAAGGGTCTAGAGCTATAAACCACAAATACACAATTACTTGACTGCTTTTGCCTTTGGAAATTTTCAGGAAACTGAACTCTTGATTCATTAGGTTTACCTGTGTGATTTAAAAAAACACCAACAACTGATTTATGATAAAAAAGAAAATGCCTCATCCCTTTTCCTAACCCTCCAAACCAAACAATGGTAAAGGCTGGAGTTGTCACAAATAGTAATTGCTTAGTTGCTTGCAATTTATAGTTTATGGAATTATTTACCTGGTCAAATGTTATCTTTCTTGGAATATGTTGTTTTTATTTTTGTGTTTTAAATGTTACAGCAGTCGTTAATGTTATCTTTTCAATTAAAAAAAATGAAGTGTAAAACATTCGAATTTCCATAGCACATTGGCAGGCTATGTAACTTTAGAAAATCCGACTTATAGAAATTATTTTAAAAATGAAGAAAGACACATAATAGTAAGAGTTAACAAAAGATTATTAAACTATTTTTTTCCCTTGCTAGTTACTGAGAGATTTGGCATTTCTAGCCATAACTTTAATTTTGTAGCTTTTCCTATAGCCCTCAAGCCCCCAACTTGAGAATGTTTAATTGAAAGACTGATTCCTTGTTCCCAACCTTACAGATTTTGACTTAGTAAATATGATTTGGGGATCAGAAAGCTTCATTTTAAACAGTCATTTTGGAGATTTTGAGAAACAAAGTTAGCCAAAACATCAAAACATACAAATCTCATTTTGAGGATTAGTTTTCCTCGTTATAGAGATGAATATTATTGATTTGACTTTTGACAGTTTTTTTTAAAGGAGTTGAGTACATCATAAAATCATCAACTGCATCTTTCGAAAATATGACAAGTGTATTAAACTAGACTTTAGTAATTTTATTCAGTTTAAGGGGAAAGGCAGAGGCTTTATAGTGTACTGTTATTTCATATCAATATACATACCCACCCTTCTTGATGGACTATGTAGTATAAACAAATGGTAACAGTTATTTCTTTGGGCTCTCTAGCAGTAGTCCCCCTTTCAGGACAGATATGTTAAATAATTTTGTTAAGAGGTTATTGTTTTTCAGCATCAGATTTCCTTCTTTCTGCATGGCATGCATCAATCATTCGTTTGGGTTTTTTTTAGGAAAAATTATGAATTTTACATGAGTTGCTAGGTATAGTAAAAGTGTGGCTCAGTTCTTCGTGGTTCATGAAAGCTTCTCTGCAAACACTGGTGTGTTTCCTGAATCTGTTTATGTCCCTTTGTAACTAAAGTTTTCTTTTGTTTTTTATTGGCATATATTTATGAAGGAGTATTAACTTTTTGAAAGACAAATAGAATATATTTAACTTTTTCCATTTCTGCTCTTTTAAATTAGGAATCAAGTACTGGAAATGTTCGATCATGCCTATGGTAACTATATGGTAAGTAGAAAGCTTATCTTTATATACCACTTATGTCAACTGAGTATTATGTGAGCATGGTCAACTGATTATTTTGAAACCTGAATTAATAGCACATTTTATTTAAAAGAAGTTTTTAAAAAATAATACAAATATGGGCTAACAGAATATTCCTGATAAGGGTTCTTAGAGAACCAATTTATTGAATAGGTAAGAAGAAATTGAATTAGATTATGAATTTTTGTATTTAAACAGTTTCCTTTGATGCTACCAATGATGTTTATTGAGTGCTTTACATAGCTAGATATTGTGGATGTCAACATGAATAAGATGTGATCTCTGGCCTTAAGAGAAATGATTTTCTTAAGTAAAAAACCCAACGAAACTATTTACAATAATACTTTGTTAGTGTCTTAGTGCTCACTTGAGATGAAATAGCAGTTTCAGTTTTTCAAGATGAAAAAGTTCTGGAGAATTGTTACAGAACAGTGAATATAACTAATGCTGCTAAACCAAAAAATGGTCAATTTTATGTTACATATTTTTTTTTTTTTTTTACCACAATTAATAAGTGAATCCCCTCGTGGGCCAAGGGGAGCCTTTTGGAAGGTGGGGAGAAGAATCTGCTTCCCATAGTGGAGCTCAGGGGCCATGGCTGCCCTCCATCTCTCCCTGCTTCTTACCTTTCAGTAAAATGATCTTAAACTGCAAAAAGAATTTTTAAAAAAATTTTTAAAAAGACGAACTAGCAAGCAACTTTTAGCATTCAAAGAAAATTTTATGTATAATTTTATAGAATTTGATCAAATTATTCTGATAATCACTTCTCATGACCTTGTTCTTACATTTTTAAAATGTCACCGAGATTTTCTTTTATTATTAAGACCTGTAAAATGTAATTGGGAAAAGTTGGACAGATAACTAACTTAAGTTGATTCTGCTTTAAATATTTTTTCAGCTGATTCTGTGAATCCATTTTTCATTATATGTTACCCCAACATCATGTATTAACATTATCTTTATAACATATAAGTACGCATACTTTATGCATCTTTATATTTGATAATCTTTGTTCCCATTTGTATTGTACATTTTTTAAGAGTATGTATTGATTCCTTAATAAATATTTTT